GTCCAGGCCCAAGCCCCCACCTCCCCAGGACCCAGGAGTCCAGGCCCCTGCCCTCACCTTTCCAGGACCCTGGAACCCAGTCTCCAACTTCTATCTCACCAGAACCCAGGAGCCTTGGCCCCAGCCTCCACCTTCCCAGGGACCAGGAATTCAGGCCCCAAGCCCCACATTCCCAGGACCCAGGAGTCCGGGAGTCTCTGTTCTCTCCTCCCTGCCTGCTAACTCCTCTCTACCTGTTAAGCTCTTGTAGACTCGAGTCTGTCGGAATCCAAGGCCTCTCAGCTGTTCCTCCTCTGAATGGATAGACATGAACTCAGAGCCTAGGCAGGCTGAGACCAGGGCTGACCATCACTTCCCACTTCCCAGAATCCCAGTGTCCCAACCCAGCCTCACCCAGGAAGCCCATCTTCTGTAATCTTGGCTCCTGGGAGTCACTCATGTTGCCCCAGAGTCCCCCAGTGTCCCCCAGTGTCCAGAACTGCTGGGGACCACAGCTTTTATTTCCCACCCTGTGATCTTGACTTCCTAAATCTACTCTCCCACAGGAAGAAAAACAGGAAGTCGGGTAGGGACCTATCACCCAAAAGGCTAGTGGAAGGGGTCAGGACATGAGATGGGCCGGATCATTCAAGAATTTTGGGGAGGGGATGGGAGATGGTCTCTGGTTGACAGGGAGAAGGGCCCATCCACTCATGGCATGGCTGAGCAGTAGGATGCTTTTAATGAAATCTGATAAATTCTAAGAGAAAGCTAATTTGTTATACCCCCTCCACCTAGGACAAGCGTGGGCAGGTAGCACCCCCAGTTCCTGGAAGCACTGTCCCTTGTGACCTCCTGGCTTTCCTGCCTTGGGCTGCTGCTGTCTTCATTTTTGGGGATTCCTGCTGACTTTGGGAGTTGGGGCCAAATCGTAATTGCTTATTTAATGCCTAGGATAGTCAGGTACTTTTCCAACAGCTTTATAAACTCATTCATTTAATCTTCCTGCTGTTCAGTAGATCATACGACCTCCATTGCGCAGATGGGGAAACTGAGGAGGCACTGCAAGGCTAGATAACTTGCCCAAGGTCACACTGCTGGTAAATGGTGGAATCGAGACTTTAACCCAGACAGTCTGCCTCCACAGTGCACACTTTTAACCAAAGACTGAAATAGTATCAAAGAGGAAAGAAAAGATTCATAGCAGCTTTATTTAGAATAATCTGAAATTGGAACAACCTCTGTGCCCACCAGTAGGTGAATGATAAAAAATGTAATGGCATATTCAGAGATTGGAATACTATACAGCAATAAAAAAGCAAAGTACTGATACATTTAATAACGTATATGAATCTCACAAAACAGTGAAAGGACCCAGACAGAGTGAGTACATACTCTAAGATTTGATTTTATATGAATTTTGAGAGCAGGCAGAACAAACCTTTGAAGGAGACTCAAAATGGGAATTATCTGGAAGGAGCAGGTCGGGGTTGACAAGGGAGTGTCTGTATTCTGGAAATGTTCTATATTTTGATCATAGAGCTATGCCTTTAACCACATATGTGTTAAATCTCAATTTAAAGACAGAAAATACATATGTGCATCATAATCATATAGTGGTTTTGATCTGATTTTTACTTTGTATTTTTTAAATTTTTTATTTTAGAATAATTTTGGATTTATAGAAAAGTTGCAAATGTAGGAAAGAGATTTCCCATACGTTAATCCCTAACCTAGGGATCCCTAATGTGAATCCAGTTTCTCCTAATGGTAACATTTTGCATGGTAATGAGGTAGGGGACAGGCAAATGTGTTTTCTAGTCACAACCCTGCAGACCATACAGAATCTGGTCCAGATGAGTGATGTGAAGAAACCAGCAGGAACCAGCAGATGGCAACAAAAGTGATCCCTGGCTGCCTCATTGCTCACTGGCATAGGATGCTCCCATCAGTGCCATGACGATTTACCAATGCCATGGCAATTACCCAGAAGTTACCACCTCTTTCCCTGGAAACAACCTGAAAGTCGCTGCCTTTTTCCTAGAAACTTCTAAAGAAACTGTCCCTCAATTTGCATGGACCCACTCCTTAATTGACATATAACTGAAAGTGGGTTGACATGAGTATAAACACAATTGCCAAAAGCTTGTATGTTGTTGACTCTGGGTGCACTGCCTAAGAGTTAGCCTTGCTTCACAAGGAGCAATACCATTAAATAAAAAATCTCTGTCTGACATCACTGGCTCACCCTTGAATTCTTCTTGAGTGAAGCCAAGAACCCTCCCAGGCTAAATCCCAATTTTGGGTTCACCTGTCCTGCCACATTTGGCGACCATGAAGGGATAAAGACGATGAGCAAGAGGCAGTGACTGATGCAGCACTACTGGCGGTAATTGGCAGTGAGATGGTGAGACAGTGGTGATCACTGCAGAATTAGACAGACAGCAGAGTCTATGGCAACTGGTGATGGGCAGAGAGGTGAATGAGCAAGAGATGGCAAGACAGCAAGATGGCAACTGGTAAGGCAGAAAGAGGTGGCAGTTGGTGATTGGTGGTCAATGGGACAGAGAGGTGGTGATTGGAGAGTGATGGAGAGGTGGCAATCAAAGAAAGACAGACAGGTGGTGTATTAGTATGTTTTCACACTGCTGATAAAGACATACTTGACACTGGGCACTTTATAAGAAAAAGAGGTTTAATGGACTCACAGTTTGACATAGGGAGGCCTCACAGTCATGGTGGAAGGCAAAAGGTAAGTCTTACATGGCAGCAGACAAGAGGGAATGAGAGAGGCAGGTGAAAGGGGTTTCCCCTTATAAAACCTTCAGGTCAGCCAGCACTTTGGGAGGCCAAGGTAGGTGGATCACCTGAGGTCGGGAATTTGAGACCAGCCTGACCAACATGGAGAAACCCCATCTCTACTAAAAATACAAAACGTTAGCTGGGTGTGCTGGCACATGCCTGTAATCCCAGCTACTTGGGAGGCTGAGGCAGGAGAATTGCTTGAACCCAGGAGGCGGAGGTTTCAGTGAGCTGAAATCGTGACATTGCACTCCAGCCTGGGCAATAAGGGGAAACTCTGTCTTAAAAAAAGAAAAGGAAAGAAAGGAAGGAAGGAAGGAAGGAAGGAAGGAAGGAAGGAAGGAAGGAAGGAAGAAAAAAGAAGGAAAGAAGAAGAAGAAAGGAAGGAAGGAAAGAGAGAGAGAAAGAAATAAAGGAGGAAGGAAGGGAGAGGAGGGGGGAGGGGGAAGGGAGAAGGGGGAGGAGGAGGGGAGGGGAGGGGAGGGGAGGGGGGGGGAGGGGGGGGGGGGGGAGGAAACTGTCAGGTCTCGTGAGATTTATTCTCTACCCTGAGAACAGTATGGAGGAAACCACCCCCATGATTCAAATATCCCCCACTGAGTCCCTTTATGGGAGCTAATATTCAAGATGAGATTTGGGTAGGGACACAGCCAAACCATATGAGGTGGTGATGAGCAGTCAGCAGGATGATGATTGGTGAGACAGAGAGGCAGCAAATAATGAGAGACAGCAAGAGAGCCATCAGCACTACGGTGATCAAAACTGCAGAGCCGTAACGCTAGTCAAGGACTCTTTTAGGAACTATCATCTTCCCTCGCAGGCAATGGAGCTGAGCAGATGAACCTGCAGCCATAGCACCATCATGTAATGTGGCACTCTCCACTTTGACCAGCAGGCCAGTAGGTTTCTGGTCCCCACACTGGTCCCCTGTGACAGCTGAGTTGGCCCAAGCTGGGAAACCTGGGGACCTGGCCTTGGAGGAAGCCCCAAGTTGGAGACCAGTCAGTGTACCATTCTGGCTCTGGTAGACAGGTGAGTGTCCACTCTGCCCCCACTCCACAATATTGGGTGAGCCAGGAAATAAGACTTTTGGCTAGTCATTTCAAAGTCTCCCATAGCACATCTGACCAACTTCGTTCTTAGCACCCCTTTTCTTGGTCCTTTTTCCTCTAATGTCATTTTATTTTTCCATCAGCCATTTTATTATTCTATTTTATCCTGAAATGTATCAGGATTTTGTTTACAGTTTTAGTTTTTTTGTTTTCGTTTGTTTGTTTTGAGACAGAGTCTCGCTCTGTCACCCAGGCTGGAGTGCAGTGGCATGATCTCAACTCACTGCAACCTTTGCCTCCTGGGTTCAAGTCAACACGTCTGGCAGTTTTCCCATGTTTACCAGGCTGCTCTCAAACCCCTGACCTCAAGTGATCCACCTCCCTCGGCATCCCAAAGTGCTGGGACTACAGGCATGAGCCGCTGTTCCCACTCTTGTTTACAGTTTTTGCTATGACTCCTGGTGAACTGTATGTGGACAGTTGTTTAAGACAGAACCCTTGGCTGTGAGACGTCCAGGGATTTATCCATTTCCTCTAGGGCTTCTAATTTGGTTAGGATATAGTTGTTCATAATAGTCTCTGATGATTCTTTTTCTGTGCATTTCTGTGGTTTATCTCCTTTATGTTTCCAATTTTGTTTATTTGGGGCTTTTCTCTTTTTTTCTTGGTTAGTCTAGATAGTGGTTTTTCCATTTTGGTTATCTTTCAAAAAAAAAAAAACAACTTTTCATGTCATTGATCCTTTGTGTGTGAGTGTGTGTGTGTGTGTGTGTGTGTGTGTGTTTGTCTTTATTTCATTTAGTTCTATTGTGATATGTGTTATTTCCTTCCATCTAATTTTGGGTTTGGTTTCACATTTCTAGTTCCTTGAGGTGTAGTCCTAGGTTATTTATTTGAAATCTTTCTACTTTTTTGATGTAGGCATTTTGTTTGCTTTCCATTTTTTTGTTTTTAAGATGGGGTCTTGCTATGTTGCCTAGGCTGGTCTTGAACTCCTGAGCTCAAGCAATCCTCCCACCTTAGCCTCCCAAAGGGATTACAAGCATGAGCCACTGTGCCTGGCTCTGATGTAGGCATTTATTGCTATAAACTTTTTTTTAGCATTACTTTTGTTGTATCCCATAGGTTTTGGTATGCTCTGTTTCCAGTTTGATTTGTTTCAAGAAATTTTTTAATTTATTTCTTAAGGTCTTCACTGAGCCAGTGGTTGTTCAAGAGCATATTGTTTAATTTCCATGTATTTGTACAGCAGCACGAGAATGAACTAATATAATATTCTTGCCTGACAGCTTTTTTCTTTCAGCGCTCTGAATATATCATCCCATTCTCTCCTGGCCTTTAAGTTTTCTGCTGTGAAGTCTATTGTTAGTCTGATAGGGGGTTTCTTGTATGTGACTAGATGCTTTTCTCTGGCTGTTTTTAGCATTATTTCTTTGTCTTTGATTTTTGACAGTTTGACTATAATATGCCTTAGAGAAGTCTTTTTGGCTTGTATCTATTTGGAATTCTCTGAGCATCCTATATTTGGATGTCTAAATCTCTTCCTAGGCTTGAGAAGTTTTCAGTTATTGTTTTTTTTTTTCAGTTATTTTGTTCAATAGGTGTTCTATGCCTTTTCCCTCTGAT